GCTGAACCTCGGCAGTGTGTTCTGAAGTGATCAGACCAGGGTGGAATGTTGATCAAAGACATGTTGGTTGCCTTTGGAAAACTGGAGTTTCTCATTTACTCAAAGGGGATTGAACTGGAGCTGGAGATCTCTTCGCCAACACAGCAGAAAGATTTCTATCAAGCTTGGTACCAAACAGCCAGAACAGGTCAGAAAGTGTTCAGCTGCGTCTTTCTTTGTGGATTCCTTGGTCATAAAATGCTTATTTTGTGCAACTGAAATATTTTTCTAGGAATGTGCTAATTCAAACAAAGGTTTAGCCAGAAGAGGCATTCTTCTTCCAAAAGGGACTTTCTGGTTAATGGAGTGAGAGGGAATCACTTAATTTAATAACCAGCTTGGTGAGTTCAGGCACTCAGATGAAATATAGTGGAACATAGGTCATGTCCTCAGTCCAGCAAATGCATCCTGCTCGTCTGAAGTGGAACAGCCCCATCAGGAGCAACTCACACAAGGATCTGCTGGGTCCTCATCATACCTTGGCATAGGGAAATCGCTGAGCTTGGAAATCCCCTATTCTACGCAAATTCTCTGGTTGTTGGCTGTCCAGACCAAGTCTGTAAGGTGACAAGCCAACATGCCAGCAGGGACACAAGTCCCTTGCTGTGGAGAACCTACAGTCAGCCCCAGCCATAACAAAGCTTAGCCATTTCTAAGTGTGCTGGGATGAACTTCAGCACTTGAACTGCCTTCAGTTCCTCCCCTTGCACTGCAGCCTGGTTGATTTAGAAGGGACAAACTCTTTTGTTTTTTGAGCTTTGCTCACTTGCATGTATTTGCCCGAGGGCGAAAGTTGTATTGAAGGTTCACACTCCCCAAAATGTGCATGTAGACAACCACACATCCATTTCCTAGAATTTCTTAGAGCAGCAAAATTTCAGTGGAGTTCACTTGTGCGGGCCAAAAGGAAGCGCTGATTTCTCAAGTTAACCTGCCCTGGCTTCAGTTCCCCTTCTCCCCCTCCATAAATGTAAAACATTGGTTTTGTTCCAGCCTTTCAACAATGTAAAGACAGTTGCATGGCCAATATGCAACCAATTATAGAGGGAGCAGATGTTTTTCACAGTAATGCAACAAACACTCTTTTTTTTGTCCTTTGCCTTAAAGACAATTTTTACCTCATTATGATTTCATGTTCAAGTCTTTCCTATTTCTGTGTTGCCGAGATTGTCCTCTTAAGGGGACGTGCATTTCAAATTCACGGGTTGTACCTTCTGATCTTTTCTTCTGCATTATCTCTAACCTTTCTGCTTCCAATGGCTTGCGAGCGCAAGAGCTGCAGGTGGGAGGGAGGAGAAGAACTGGATCTGTCTCCAGCGCACAGACACTTTGTTAACCAGCTCTGGAAAGGGCTCCCAAAACAAACTAAGAAGTATTGTTAAACAGAATTAATACACCCTAGACACTGCTGCTATCACTCTATCTGCTAGAGTTCTGTCATTAAATTTGTCAAATTCATCTGACATTTTGTTTCTGTGTGCAAGGAGAGGGCTTAATGTGCCTTTTCCTTGCACTTCTCACACTTTCAGCATAGAGTCGAAGGTGACACAGAAGCATATGCATCACGTATGGCCCATTCTGATTTGTTTCACCATGTAAATGTGGATAAAGGAAAAGACGAGAATGACAGTTCATTTCTTGCTACTGAACAGTAGTTCACCCAAGTCTTGATTGCATTCTACCAGACAACAATGCTTTCTGAATCCAGGCAAAATTATGTCCATACTGAATTTTTTATAAACTTCTACCTATTGCTTCATCTTTAGAGGTAGCTGCAACAATGACTGTAGGTATGCACTCTTATTTTCCACAATTACAGAGCCATCACATTTCCAAGAATAAACTTCCATAAAGTAAAAAAAAGGTGCATTATTCAATACCTTAATCTTACCACATGGCTGGATGAGCTTCAGCCTTTGGGAAAGGGTTTCCCCTTTACTGCTGCCGGCGATTACTTGAGTAATCCAAGTGTTACCCTTCAGGAAGCATCACCTCCATGACCTCCACCCAGTGAAGACCTTGCAGCGGGCGGCTGCGACCGTGTGCCTCTGTGCTTGTAGGGGCACTGATTGGTACTATTTGTAGACGTGGCTGGAAAAATTCCTACAAAGCAGTTTTATGTGTTTCTTTGTGTTGTTTTCTTTCACCAGTTGGCCACAATTGCCAGGTGGTTGCCCTCCTTGTAGAGCCTGTCGAAATGTCTGGGAGGAAAAAGGGGAAGACTTTGCATCCAGTATATTCGTTGCTTATTCCAGCTGCTACTTAGGGGTGTGGGAATGCCTTGAGGTTCCTCTAGGAGACACACGTGGAGCTAGGGTTATTGCAATGGGAAAACTATCGCAGATTTTTGCAAAAAGCCTGGATTTTTTCACTGTGCTTCTTGGGGACAGCTTGGTGATATTACTCTTTGTGTTTTTTTCCAGCTGGAAGAACAGGGTGGTGCCGCAGATATTTTTGTTCTTATTGACTCCTAGGCTAGAGGAACAGCATGCAAGGAAGGCAAGTATTAATGACTCATCTTTCAAAAGCATCTCTCTTCTTTGTTTCAGAATCTTCTGAAATTGGTCCTTCAGTTGTAGTTCACACAACAGTAACGTTTGGAAGTGAGCACCTGGATTCAGACCCCGCAGAAGTGCAGCAGTTAATTCTCAGTCACCTGGAGAGGATTGTGCCATCCCTACCTAAACCAGCTAGCGTCAAGTGTCAGAAATGGAGATACTCACAGGTACTCCGGGGTGGGATCAGTCAGCTGGGAGGATGCTGCTGGGGCAATGCCATAGTATGGATTTTTGGTGTTAGCACAAGAAAGAGGATATCATCTGACCCAGTGGTTTTCATCTTCAGGGAGCAAGAGGAAAGGGGATAGTTGCTCAATATCCGTAATGTATTTCTCCATGTAGCCATCAGCAGCACCCAAGGCTGGCCAATGACAGACAGATCATTTCTTTTTGATGAAAATCAGTTTTTTACGTAGTGGACCTGGTTCAGTGGTAAGCTATACACCACTCCCGGTAAGTCAGGACAGGAGCAGTGCCTAGGGAGGAAGTAAATCACACACTCTTCGGTGAGATTTTCGCTGGTATTTAGAAGTATGACTCATTCTGTCTCTTCTGTATCCGAAAGCATGTGATATTAGCAAAATTCCCACCCTACCACAGAGCAGCAGGAGTCCTTGCGTTCAGATGTACTAATTGTTATTATTTGATTTGGCCCAGTTAAGTTTAACAGAATGTTATGTGCAAAATATTTTAAAGTAAACTACCTAAGAGTAATAATAGCAAAATGTGTATATTTTACAGGCTTCTTTTAAAAATCCAAGGAAATTGTTGGCAATTGCCTAAAGTACTGGAGTGTATCTACATGTTTACCCAAAGCCCCTTAAGTTAAATTACATTGGTGAAAATGCATGTGGAAGTTGATGCAAAATATTTACTTAAAGCAGTGCCCTAAATATTTTTCCTTTTATTAAGTCTGGAAAAGTTACTGCAGACGACTTTTGTGAAGTCTGCTCATACCCCTTGATCTGCATCTGATTTAGGAACCTAGTCTTATTAGCACCAAGTTTATTTTGCTGCAAGTTAGGTATCGGTAGTTTGCAAATCACTTCCCAGCACATAGTATTTGTTCTCAGTTGTAGTATAAAAATGACCTTAACATGGGTTTTAAAGTTTCAGATGACTCATACAAAAATTTTGGCAAGTTTTATATGTTCCTCTTTATCAGTTCAGGGTTTTTTTTGCTAGTAACAGTATCTTGTCTGTAGAGTTGTCACTGTTAAGGCATCCTTTTCTGGTTGTGCATTCTGGTCTTTTCTTCTGCATTATCTGTAACCTTTCTGCTTCCAATGGCTTGTGAGCGCAAGAGCTGCAGGTGGGAGGGAGGAGAAGAACTGGATCTGTCTCCAGCGCACAGACACTTTGTTAACCAGCTCTGGAAAGGGCTCCCAAAACAAACTAAGAAGTATTGTTAAACAGAATTAATACACCCTAGACACTGCTGCTATCACTCTGTCTGCTAGAGTTCTATCATTAAATTTGTCAAATTCATCTGACATTTTGTTTCTGTGTGCAAGGAGAGGGCTTAATGTGCCTTTTCCTTGCACTTCTCACACTTTCAGCATAGAGTCGAAGGTGACACAGAAGCATATGCATCACGTATGGCCCATTCTGATTTGTTTCACCATGTAAATGTGGATAAAGGAAAAGACGAGAATGACAGTTCATTTCTTGCTACTGAACAGTAGTTCACCCAAGTCTCGATTGCATTCTACCAGACAACAATGCTTTTTGAATCCAGGCAAAATTATGTCCATACTGAATTTTTTATAAACTTCTACCTATTGCTTCATCTTTAGAGGTAGCTGGAACAGTGTAGAAATGAACTCTTATTTTCCACGATTGCTTCAAAATTGTTGTCTTCCTAAATCACTAGGTGTGCGTCCTGTTTCCCCTGTTTAAAAATTACATTCAGACATTATACTGCTGGATGATGCTCTATTATTTTCTCAGACCACTGTACAATTTACAGCTCTTCCTGCTTTCATCTCCTCCCTCTGTTGCTTGCTATTGACCGTACCGCTACTAACCAAAACCACTGACTTCAGCAGCTGCTTGTACTTTACGGCTGTGTCACAGGAGGAATTATCACCAGTCTTTAATTCGGTGGATGAGTGTCAGTATGGCTCAGATGGCAAATAAGTCAGTGTCATTCAGATCCGTTATCTCAATAAAGAGATCTCTATTGCCACCCTATAAAATAATCACTACCCAGATTAGATATCTGGGACAGAACTCCCTCTTTCTCTTAAAGCTATCTTTACTTTCAGTTATCATAAGCTGTTGCCACAGAAGCAAAGGGAACTGATAAGATGGGTGCATCTTTCCCCTGACTCTTATAGACAGGATTTATCCTGCTTGTTAATTAAATCCGGATGTAACATCCTTCACATGGCCAAACACAATCCTGGGATTAAAATGCAGACATAACAATTATCCATGGCGGATGAGGGATTAGGACTTCCAAACTTCTACTGACACTACTTAGCAGCACAGCTGCTTCTGGATCCTCTGCTTTAATTACAATAAGACAATATTAGCATTCAGAGCCAACAGCTTCCTACCATCGTGTCCCTTTGACAGAGTCACTTTATATGGATGAGGGATACTGGGAAAACACAGAATCATAGGAATTGGACTTCCTCAGAGGGGACCTCAGAGGACCTCAAAGCAGAACTGTCGCCAGCACTAGGTGACCTCAACCATGGCTGAGTCTTAAAGTCTTCGAGGATGGAGATTCAACAGGCTGTGCCATATAGCCGGTGAGAAATTGGAATTTATGGTGGACAACACCTTCAGAAGAACTTGAAGAAGGGGCAGGATCATTCCGTTCCCCAGTCACTATGTCTAGAAGCTGCTGGGTACAGCCAGCATCAAATGAGCACTGGGTAGTCAAGAAGGAAGGACACTCAAAAAGCCTTTTTCTGATAAACCTTTCTTCATTGTTTATGCTCAGTGACCTCGATCTGGAAGAAAAATTTAGGAATGAATTAAGTACTGACCTAAAATTAGTCTGAGAAAGACAATCTCTGGCTGGATTTACCATACCTGGCTAGACTCTTCTGCCTACAAATTCATTTCAGATAATTACCTCCTTTAAAAAGATGCTAGCATCCAGGTAACACAAAATGCAGCCAGTAACGTAAATGTGGGTGTTCTGCATCGGATCCGTACTTGGAAATGGCAGATAACAGCACAGCAGTGGTAGCTGAGTGTGCGATGGAAAAATGCCATGGACTGAACAAGGTGCCTTGGACTGTAAGTCTTGTTCACCGAAGCTGACAGTCACATGATGGGATGCAGTATCGGTTTACTGCAGAGGAATCTAAAACATATCTTTGAACCAAAGGCAGAAAGTCAAGAAATGATCAAAAGAAAATTGTGCTCTGTATCATGCTCTATCTGTGGTTTGATCTCTATTGCTGCTTTACTGTTGTGCTTCTGCTCCTCTGGTTTTTTTTTTCTCTCTGGCTTTCTAATATTTTTTCCTCTTTTCCAACTTTTCATCATTACGGGTCTTGTTTTGTCATTCCTGTTCTTGGATTATTTCTTCCCACCTCCCTCCTCATATCACTTCATCGTCAAGCTGTCCTGCATCTTCTTATCTTTTCTATCCCTTCTGCCTGAGCCTGCCTTGCCCTCACATTTACCTTTAGGCCAGTGCTGCTGCTGCTGCTGCCACCTTATCTCTGTTCTGAGATTCACCAGTGGTGCTCTGGGATGCACTGATTTACTGCAACATGGACACTCAGCCTTTATCCATAGGTTTGAAAGAGGCTAGAAAAATGTGTGACACAGCCAAGCGTGGTAAGAACACAAATGCTGTGTGCTTTTACTCTGCCCTTTGACGTGCATTGGTGTTTGTCATGAAGTACAATTACAGAAAGAGGAAATCCAGGTACCTTCAGGTTAATACGTCCTGGCCAAAGCAAAATCTATTTGCTTGTAGAAATGTTGCACAGAACTGCTCAAGAGCTGCCACTCCACAGATACAAGTTTAATTGAGGGTATAGTGCCAAGAAAATTATATTTAAAATTAATACAGTGCATACATTGAGAATAACATTAAATATTTATCAAAGCAGCCTTGTTCAGAACTTGTCCCATGCTGCTTATGGAGAAAGCGTTGATTGTATGTCTGTCAGTGTCTAAAAATTGTTGTGCTACTCAGATGAAAAAGGCAACCAGCGTAGCAGAGCTGGAGACAGGGGGGGTTGTCCCAAGGCCATATGTGTGCTTGCTCAGCAGCATGAAGCATGGGCAGGTCATCATGACGTTCTAATTATTGAATTCCAGAAGATAACTGTTTCACTCTGTATCATTAATGCTTTGACCTACAGTGCGGGATGGGAGGGATATTTCATATCAAAGCGTGTTTCTGAGGAATATGGACCTTTCTGGTGGGAAATTCAGGTAAATAAAATACTTTCTTTTCCATCTCCCTGTATGCTTTTCTTTTTCAGGTTACAAAAGCTGTGCCCAATTGTCCAGGACAGATGATTCTTCATACTCAACCTCTCCTGATTTGTGGGGGTGATGGATTTACTCATTCCAAATTCGATGGCTGCATAGATTCTGCTATGAGTCTTGCAGAGGCTGTGAAATCTCATTTATAGCAATTTCAAAGTCAGCTGCTAACTGTAGTCTAGATTTATGATGAATTTTACTATGATGGATTGAATTCTAGTTTAGTGTTTACATAACTGGCCCCTATCTTGCAAAAATAAATTATGGAAGACCTATTGGTGTACTGTGATAATTATTCGGATGGAATTGAATTTTCCAGGATCTGTGCTGTGAATGGTTACTTTGCTTCAAGTAAAGCTTTTTCTGGCTCTAGTCAGAGGCACTGAGCTCCAGCGGTCTTGCCAGGTCCCCTGATGCTTTTACAGCTCATGAAAATTATGTCAAGGAGAGGAGCTGCACAAAAACCCATGGAGCTGCAGAGTTTACTCCTCTGAGTGATTGGAGCCCTGGAAGTGACAGAAGGAACATGCTCAATGGATCCCAGAGCTTTCAGACATAGATGTGGTCATTTCTTCCGGTGCAGATCAGCCCTGGTTGTGGTTATTGTGTTGGCCATGGGTAACCAGTGATGGGGTATATATGCTTCTCAAGTTGGAAAGCCCAATCAAGGTCTAACCACCTTGACTCAAGGTCTAACCATGTCTCCAGGCATGGACAACTTTGAAGTGAGGGATAGTAATTTTCTGCCAACCATTTTTCTTAGACCAGTTTTCTGGAGCCCTGGTTGCAGATTTCTGGAAGAACTCATGTCAAGAGCTTGATGACATTACTGGCAATGATGTGCCACTGAAACATGGTGCCTGTCCTGGGTGCAGTCTAAGCAGCATCAGCCTAGCTGTGCTCGTAACAGAAAGAATGGAGAGAAGGTGAAAGAGAAGGTATGCATGTTTCTAGTGCATTCATAGCCATACAGCTGCTATCCCAAAGTCATCTTGGGAACAGACGTCAATATCTGGGCTGTAACAAAACTTGGACACAGTAAAGTGGATTGGCCAGGAAAGTGGATGCGCTTAAAAGAGTTCAGTATTTGCCAGGTTAGAGAGTCACTGGTCTCCTGAGCAAGGATCAGCCCTTTCCTCTGTCCAAGTGGTGGAGGAGTCGGGGTAGGAGCAGCCAGTACGGAAGGTGGTCTAGCTGCTTTGCCTGGCGAATGCCAAGAGGAAGGAGGGAAAAAGAATTTATCTAAACATGGTCCATGGCAGCGTGTTAGTAAGAAAACTCTGCTGACATTTCAGGCTTAGGGTTACATCACCACCACCATAAAAACTCATTTAAAGTAAACAGCCAGGCTGAAAGCAAGGCGAGTTCTAGACAGCTCTATACTTTATTTTGGCAGAACAGGTGTAGAAATAGAGGGACGGATCCAGGGAAGGATATAAATACACATGTGAGTGAATGAACAAGGAATTTCATTTGAAAGACTGAAAAAATAAACAGCAAGTATAATTGTGTTGAAAATACTACCCGTCATGGTTTCAAGTATTTCTAAGCTACTAAACTGTGTTTCTGTGAAGTCAATTTTGAAATTACTCAGAAATTAACCAAGAAGTCATTTATTTATTCTAAATTTGATTTTAGCTTGTCCTTCCTCTTAAATCACATGCCACAAGTTTAGTACCTCTCTCTACTACAGCACTAAAAATAGCAAAGTGCTATTTTCAGCAGACAGAATTTTAACCGTTAGAGAAGTACAATTCAGCCTCTTTTCCTTAAACCACTGCATTTCATAAAAATATGACATCCTGTATTCATAGCAATGGAACACTGTAATTTACTGCTGTGTTTGACCATTTCTAATGCAGTATTTGAAGTGACACTAAGAACTTCAAAACTTAAGTTAATTTTAAACACATCTTTGAAGGATATTTCATGATGCCTTGTGGTTTTATTGATTTTTTTCTCTTCTTTTCATGAAGTTCTTGAGTTTAAAGCTTTGTGTCTGAACTGACAGGGTTCAGGGTGTATGGGAGGGTTTTCTGCTTGGCTATTGGTTCTGCTTGGCAGGTGGGTCAACCATTGGTGGACCAAGGGTGATAGTTTCTGGAGACCCATCCCACCGGTCTGCCTTCATCCAAGCTCTGCCTTGGTGCACGGGGAAGGACGTGGGTCCTTTTCCTGCAGGCTGTAACTTTAGGGGATCTTTCCAGACTCTTTGCTTGTGCTGTTTTCCTGGTCTTCACTCCTTGTTTTCTGCTCCTTTCTTCAAAGATGGATTTTTACATTAAAACACGCTAAAATTTTCACTTCCTTCCTCTTCCTTCAATTTTGAATGGAAGCAAGACAAACCACTGAAAATCCAAATAAAATGTGTGATGTGCAGAAAAAATGGAAAATGGTGTTGTTCCTCTTGCTGCCTTGCAAACGGGCAGGCTCCGAAAAGTCATGATGCCTTGTATCAGCAGCAGCCATCAATATGACAAGTGACAGATAAGTGACCTCCATCCTTTCGGCAGTCTTACAGCTTTGGTCATTATGAGATCTCAAAATACCCGGTAATAAGCAAATCACTGATTCACATATTTTTCGTATCATGAGATTTTTCGATTCAGAGGTTTTCGAACATGAATCACAAGTGAGTCTCAGATTGCTCCCACCTTTCCCTCTATCATGATGGTCCATCAGAACACCTCCTTCCTATCGCTTCCTCCCTGATTAAGATGATTTAAATAAAATGACTTGGTTTTTAAGGTGCAGTAGAAAAGTTCATGGACGTGTTCCTGTGGATGTGCTCCAGACAGCGGGCGCTTCAGAGTCTCTGTGGCAATATCTCATTTTCTAGATGAGAGCAGGGAGATGACGGTTATTAACTTTCCCACGCAAGGCAGGTAATGAGTGGTGATATTTCAAAGAGACCACTGTGTCCAAAAGGATGTGTCCAAAAGAAGAGACTTGCCTGCTTGATTTCCTGGGCTTTTTCCTGGGTGGATGTAATTTTTAATTAACTGGCAAATCCATCAAGCACAACCTGTATCTCCTTGTTCCCAGACAAGGGTGATGGTTATATCTGATCTCCTCGGTGTCATGAACCACAGCCAGCACCCACAGCTGAATTAAAGCATCAGCTGCGTGTTTCACCAGGAAAGATTTCATAGTACTGGCCAAATAGCAGAGGAGGTGTTGCCCGGAAGGCTTGGCAGACACAACTACACCTTGACATCTCCTGCTAACAGAAGCATTGGGAGACCTGTGGCTCAGCCAGGTGTGATCCACCCCCAGCATTTGCCTTGTTAGCACTGTGCAAGGCAATTTTCACATCATCACAACTGTCGCACAATCCTCAATGAAATGCATTTCAGAAAGCCAGGCATGCTGTACTGAGCCATCAGACCCAGTGCAAGGAGATCATAGAATCACAGAATCATTAAAGTTGGAAAAATACCTCAAGTATCATCAAGTCTAACTGTCAACCCAACACCACCTAACCCACTAAACCATGTCCCGAAGCACCACACCTACACGTTTCTTGAACACCTCCAGGGATGGTGACTCAGTTCTACATCTGCAGCCCCAACAAGGGCACATCTGCTTCTCTTGTGTCCCAGGGGCTTCGGAGACCTTTCCCTTCCCAAGGCAAGGGAGATGTTGGGATCAGAGGCTCATTGTGTGAGTTGCAGTGAGAAGAGGCAAGCCTTGGGGATAAGACTAGCTAGGTGAGCCAGGTCTAGGTAAGCCCCAGGGTGAGAAGCAGAGCAGAATTGCAATGCTGGACTTCAGTAGGGCCAACTTTGGCCTTTTCAAGCAATTGCTAGAGGAACCCATGGGACAGGGTACTTAAAGGTAAAGGGGCCAAAGATAGTTGGTTAACGTTCAAGGACTGCTTCTTCCAAGCTCAAGATCGGAGCATCCCAAAGGGTAGGAAGTTGAGGGAGGGTGCCAGGAGACCTGCATGGTTAA